GATTGGAGAAGAGAAAGATAGGAAAGGGGGAGAGGAAAAGACTGCAAAACTGGTTGAGTCGGGAGATGGGGCCCAAGGTAGGGGAGGTCCCCAACATTGGGCATCAGTCTCCGGACAATAAGGGGCATGGGATGAGGGGGGAGTACAGGTTACCTCAAACCATATTTTTTTTATCTAAAAAGATGGAACTATCCTTATTTTCTTCACAGAACTCGTAGATAAGATTTTTATGTGTGTATTTTAACCTAGATTTTATGTTATATCTCCCCAAAGTTGTGTATTTTTGTATAAGTGAAAGAAGCACGATTATTTTCTATTTTTTTCCAGTTTTTACAAGCAATGGAAACAAAAATAAAAAAATGGGATGGGCAGTTCCAGTGCACTATTTTAAACTGGTCAGTGGTTAAGGATTCCAAAGCAAAATAAATATGCAAGACATTTAAGGTCATATTGCACAATAGAAAGATGTAGTGAAAAGTCGATGTTTAACTACTAATACAATTGCACTTTTTTTTCTTCCACATTAACTTTTTTTATGCTAATCTTTATCTGCAGTTAGTGTAAATACAAAATTATGATATTATTTAATTCTGATGCCGCATCGACATACCGGCGGGCTCTAGGTTAACGCAGCGAAAGTGTTAAATGTGCTACGCGCCAAAAGTCGTATAGCAGTTCAGGATAGTATGGCATTTAAAAGGGCAAAGAGGGGTGAGGGTAGAGAGGGTGAGTAAATGGGCTAAGATAGGGATTAAAAAGGGTAATTAGATAGAATTTGCCCAAGAAAAAAGTGTGGGATTCTGCAAGGATGTCCGTAAGGTAAGGTAAGGGTTAGCAAAAGGCGCAAGGGGTTTAAGGGCGATTAGATCACAGTTTCAGGAGAAATGTCAGGAGGGAGAGAATCCAGGGAAGGGAGTTGTTGTGACAGTCACATTTGTATCCAAGGGGTAAGCGGAAAGGATAATAGGGAAGGAAGGGGGGATGATACAGATGAACCAGGGGGAACGGGGTGTATTGGGAAGGAGTGGGAGGAGGGAATGTAGGGGGAACATGGTAGGAGGAGGATGGATGTCGGCCATTACTTTGAGTGTGGAGGGAATGGGAACAGAGAGATTGGAAGACGTATGAAGTGTAGGCTTGTTATCTTGGTCATGACTAAATAGTTTTGAATGACTTCGAGAGTTTCTGTAGTGGCTTTGGTTGGGGAGGTCTGTGAAACTATTTTTCTTATGAGTGGGAGAAGTAAGCAAGAGGTAGGCGGAGGAAGGGGTGTGGTAGGAGAAGATGGGGTAGAATGTTTAGATTGACTGCCATGGGTAGAGTGAGGAGGGAGAGGGTAGGTGTCAGGCAGTGGTGGTGTCTGAATTTAGAATTGCAAAAGAATATGATTGGGAGTAGAAGTGAAAACGTAAGATGGAGGAGGAATAGATACAAGGGGGTGAGGGGTAGACACATCTTGGGAGGAAGGGGGATGGGTCGAGTGAGGGGCAGCATTGGAATAGACAGTAAGAGAGAACCTGTCAGGTCACACATAAAGGGAGGCCAAATTTGAATCTGAGAATTGCCACCGCAGATTCAAACTTGTAGGTAGGGCAGTCCTATAAGATACATTATGGGAGCACCACAAGTGGCACTCGTGCGTGATTGTGCAGAGCAGTTTGATCGATCATGACCAGGTTGGGCATAGAGGGCATCAGACTGTGGAGTCGCAGTGTTTGGCCTAGATGCTAACAATTACGACATTGATGGAGTGGAGGTTGACATGGTCGGACAGGGATTCTCCGTCAATATGGCCATGGAAGTGGAGTCATGTCTACGGAAAGTAATCTTGGCAATATTGATGGAGGACTTACGGCAGCCTCTATGCCGAATGGTGCAGGATCATAGCCCATGAAGCAGGTGAGCAAGTCTTCTTCACAAGCTGGCCAATCTTTGTTGAGAGTTTGTCGGGGAGGTGGAGACAGTTCCGGTACAAGTATTGCAGGAGGGATAAGTTAGGCAGGAATGGGTTTGTCAGTGAAGTCAGTCATGGTTGATAATGCTTTAGCTTGAGATTCAGATGCAACTGTGACAAGGCAGGGATGATCAGGGCAGCTTTGGCCTACATACAAAAAACAAAAATGTCCATTTTAGAATTTTAGAAGAAATAAATGTGCTAGACATCAAAGGCCATATAGTTAAGTAGTGTGGCAAAAAAGGAAACAAAGAGTTAATCGGGATAAGATGTTTGATGTCAAAAGTTGCAGAAAGCTTTAGGATAGAATAGTGGTGAAAAAGATAAAGAAAGGGAGCAAATGGAATACAGTGGGGTATTTGTAAAAGGAGAAAGGTCTAAGGGTATAGGGCGATCATATTAAATGGAGAGTATATGCCTGAGGAGGAAAACTGCGAAAGAGAAATTATGAAACAATCAAAGAGTAAGTAGTTGTAGAAGAACCCAGAGAATGAGATAAGGGAACTGGGGAAGGTGGTGAAGTATACGGGAAGAATGTCAGGAGGGGAGGGATCTGGAGAAGAACATTGTTGTGATACAAGGGAGTCATGTGAGTATCCAGGTGGGCGTGGTAATGGTAATTGGCTCGAAAGCGGAGATTGTGATGCACCTGGAGGAAAAGAGGATGTTATTTGGGAGAGTGGGAGGAAGTGGGGTTGGGGGAACTTGAGGAGGAAGAAGATGGATATCGGCAAATACTTTCAATGTAGAGGGAATAGGAATAGAGGGTAGATGAAGGAATGGAGCATTCTCTTGGGTCATGTTAAGGAAGTTTTGGATGTCTTCAAGAGAACTGGAGGGGAATTGGGATGGGAAGTCTGAAAAACAAAGGTTTTCTTATGTGGAGGAGAAACGGGAATAGATGTCCAAAAAGCAGGAGAGTTGGACGTAGGAAAGGATGTGGTATGAGAATATGGAGTACAATTTTTAGATTGTCATGACTAGGTTGGGCACATAGAGGGCAGTGGGCTGTGGAGTGACAGTGTTTGGATGGGCAGCCAAAAAGCCAAAATATCTGACATGGATGGGGAAGGGGTCAATATTATCGTAGTACTTATATTGGCCTCTAGGAGGAATAATGTAGTACTAAACTGCCACTGCATCGTAGTCAACAAGGCATACAAACAAGTTGCTTTCACAGTCTGACCAGTCCTTGTCATAGACAGAACAATCAGTTGGGGAGATGGAAACAGTTCTGGTACAAGTATTAAGGGAGGAGTTGGGCAGGAATAAGTTTGCCATTGAGGTCAGTCAAGGTAGATAATGCACAAACTTGGGACTCAGATGTAATTTTGACAAGATGTGAATGATTGAAACAACTTCAAAAGGAAACTTTACCTACTTGTTTTTGGTTGGAAGAGAAAGGTATTATCAGAGTATGGGGCTGTAGGGGGAATCACAAAGATCCCACTTGGCTGGGCCAAAAAGGGTACTCAAAAGGTTTGCAGAGGTGGAAGAAGTAGGACTAGGGCAGGAGTAAGATGGTGTGGTATGGAGAGAAGTAGTACTGCCAGAAAGAGGACAATGAGGATGAAGAGTAGTAATAAAGGGGGGGAGGGGGGAAGAAGACTATGCAGTAAGAGATGGGGTAGAGGATGTTGGGAGAGAAGTGTATTCTGATGGTTGAGTAATAACCTGGGTGAATGGATAGAGATGACAGCAAACATTGAGGAGGAGGTATTAATATCAGTGGTTGGAGCCGTAGTCAAAGGAAAGGCAGGGTCAGGAAACCAAACTTTAATGCCCCTAATAAGGGTAAAAAATCTTCATTATTAGACTGACATTTATGGGCAGAAGAAACAGTCGCCATGAGGGGTAAGGGTGAGGCGATTAACCATGAGAATAACATGCCCATGGCTCCTGGAGGCTGTTCATAACTGACACAAAGCCAACCTTTCATCCTTTAAGCGTGGCTCTCACAACTTAGATAGTGGACAGAAAGGGATGAAGAAAAGTAAAAGGAAAGGGGGAGAAGAAAAGACCATGCAAAATTAGTTGAAGTGATGGCCAAGATCCAAGGTAGGGGTGATCACCTATATTGGGCCCCAGTCTCTGTCCCCTAAGCCATCCCCCCACCCCCCAACAACAATGAGCAAGGGATTAGGGGTGTTCCATTTTAGAAAATACCGGAGAAAGGAGTTATTTCATGGCCAGATCCCTTTGTGGGATACTAATTATCAATTAACATTATGAGGTAAATCAGTGTGTTTTCTTATAACTTTTAAATAAATACATATTAAACATAATGTCAAATACTTCCTGATATATAAATACATATAAATAACAAGAGACTGTTTCCATAGATGAAAAATTGTTTGGACAATTTAAGCATTAAATATTTTAAATTACATTTAATTATTTAGCCATAGTTATTTTATGAGAAAGACAAAAATAGTGATTAGAGGGGGTAAACACATCTAGAAAATATTTCTCCCATATTTCACGGGAGGGCTTTGCAAACTTATGGAAGCTGTTTGAAAGGCCCTTGAAATTGTGGTTATCTCAAACTGGTCTAAAACTTAACCCATTTGCCCTGGATTTACGTTCTGTCCCCTGTAGTTTTTGGTGAATTTTGTTACATACAGATGGCTCCACATGTGCTCAGCTGGCAAGGAGTCTCTCAGCAGGCCCTAGTTACCGACCCTGATTTTCCTATTCATTGAATTGGTGGGAAAATTAATACCATTGCTATCGATACTGTTATTATTGTTGTTGATGTTATGATTATTAAATTGTCATTAGAATATTTTAGACAATGAAATGATACAAAAAACCCTTTCCTAAAGTGAAGAAAAAAGGGTAAACAGGCAAAATAGTTAGTTCTTGATAACTGGTTATTTGGTGATTAAGAACTTGCGGAGCCATCTATGTGTAAATACAATAAATAAACGTGTATCAAAGTGAGCATGGCATCTTTTCTTGCCATGTGGGGCGAATGGGTTAATCTTCAGTCATTCAAAAAGGTAGATGGTCCCCTTATGGTTAAGGAAGAATAAAGAGAAGTCAGTATTTGTATAAGTTTATTTTCACTTATCAATAGGGAATTTATATAATGGCAAGGTTTATGTAATTTCTTATTCAAACTAAAAATCACAAAAAAGTTCCAAAATGGCAAGTTTCCATTTTAAAAGGTTAATTGAACTTCTAACAAAATACCACAGAGGCCTATATGCTCATAAGAACTGAGCTTTTAACCATTTTATGTCATGTTTTACTGTCAGCTACAATATCTGTCACATCAGGTGACTTTCCAAAATCTCTATGCACAACCTGTCTCTATGGTCAAAATCATCACCCATTCAAGTGTCTGTATATTTAAATGTCAAATCCATTTACAAGAGGAAACTTTGTGATATCTAATATAAAGTGCTTTACATGTTACTATTTGAATACCATCAACAGACAGGTAATGTTTCAACTGAATAAGAAAACTGAGGAATAAGCCACCTAGTGTAATGCTGCTTATTCATTGTCTTAAAATTGCCAAAGTAACCTGTTGCTCTTGTCCTGGACTAGATCATTTCATAGTTAAAGAATACTGTTTATACACATTGCAACAATATTAAAACACATGAAATAATTACATCTTCTATTTTGCAAAGAAAGATATTGTTTGCCTTACATACAATACCCCATATTCACAAGTATATGAACTGGGAGTATTTCTTGTCAAAACTAATGTGTGTACATTATTAAGGTATCACATATAATAAAGATTACACCTAATACTTGAATATACCAAAAATGTGTACTTGAAATACAAAATATGCCTGCAGTACCAATATCTGATTGCCTATCATGATATCTTTCCATACGGAATTTAGTACTAAACATTGCTGAGAAAATATCAAGTAGTCTACAGAATTTCATTTCTGTCAGTAGTTTTGTATATTCTTATCACACCATAATTAAGGAAAGATAATCAACACTAATAAGGCCATAATGTTGAGGTAAGCAACAATAAGCTATGATTTTCTTCCTTTAATGTAATTATGAGAAATAGTCAAGCTTAACGCAAATTACTTCAGCACAGGGGAATACCTAGTGACACAGACCCATATACACCAATATTCATAAGATCTGAATCTTCTGACCTTACAAACCACAGGACTGATAAATAGCATCAAGAGCATACACGCACGCACATAACTGGGATCTAACCTATAATAAATACATAGTGCACATAACAAATGTAGGGAGCGAGATTCTTCAACATAACACATCCATACATCACAGTAGGAATGTTGGTGCTAATAGGAATTATTGTTAACTATACTCTAAAGACCTAAGTAATCCTGCCATGCAATTCTGACTCACAAACAAATGCCCTATATCCAGTTAAATTCTTTTCAAGAACAAAACGAATACAGAGTAAAAGATAAAATCACGGTTATTTGTACATGTATATATATTTTTGTTTCTGTGTGTCTGTATGTGTGTATGTAGCACAATTGCACACTAACAAGCATCCATAATGAATGTATGAATGCAAGATTGCTGCTCTTCACTTTCTCACAATCTCATATGTTTTTGTGTTTGTTGTTTAGCACAATCAAAAGGTTATCACAACCAAGTGACCTATAACAGCATTGGAAATATAATTCCCATAAAGCATAAGCAGGACACAGAACTTAACAATATAGGAAAAAATATCAATGGGAAATAATATGCTTAGGATGGCAGTTGCTGTGATGAAAATGGAGATGAAGAAAATGATGATGATGATGACAGAGATGCTGAAGAAATGTCTGAATCACTAACAGCAATAATGAAGAAATAATGATTATGATAATGATAAATGATGGTAATGATAAAAAGAATACTTAACAATGAAGTTAACAGTAATCTCCATCATAGTAATAGTGTCTAAATATATATTAAAAATTATGTCGGAAAAAAAGAGAGAAAAAAAAAATCAATATTTATTAAAATGTGAAATATCAAACTGCAATGTAATAACTTAATGTAATTCTCCAACTTAACTATGAATGCTCAACATGTGCAGTATTAAATTAAAGTATCAAAACGCAAAGGTGAAAAACAAATAAAAAATCACAACTTCATAATTATCATCTTAGTTCCTTATACACAATCTTAAATATTTACTTTCACTAACTAAATATATACTCTTAATATCATGATATGAAAACCTTTTGATGGAAGGCAAAAAATCATTAAAATGCACAACATTTTCTCTCATCCCAAAAACATTACAAAGTGACCGTATCACAAATAAATCTCTCTGCTTGGTTACTATAACTAGTGCTTACTAATGAAGGGAAAGACAAGAGGACAAGCAAGTCATGAAAGATGTGAAATTATTGGCTTCAGTCATTAAAAGAAAATAAAACGATATAAATGATAAGATGCCAAATTGAAGTCTCCTACAAAGCAGACCATCTAGGGTGTGAAGATAAAATGCAATATCTAAATTTTCAATAAATATGTTTTTTCAGTCTCATAAAATCATATGCACTGTACATTTTTCTTTTTTTTTTTTCTTTTTTTACCCTGATGATGACTGTTACAATTCTCTCATATGTTTTACTCTACTGTTATACTTCTATAAACCACTCCCACACTGCAATATCAAAATGTAAAATTGCGGTAAAAATTCTAATAAAACCAATGCTCAGGGATTCTGTTCGAGATTTGTTTGTGCTAAGTTAGAGAGTGAAAACAAGAATAAGCACAACAGTTCCTGCTCCCAGAGACTAATGCTGCTGCAATCAGACCATTTACAAAGGTAAAGATATTATTTACAAAGACATATATACCATATAGTTCCATTATCTAATCATATGTATGAATTCTTTTATATTAAGATAAAAGTTGAAAAGAAAGCCCAAACAAAAACCAACCTAATTGTGGTGAATGAAATCAGGAAGAAAATCAATTGTACAAAAAATGCAGATTCATTACCAAGCCTTGTGAAAATTACAGCTTGGCTTTATAACGACATTTCTTTTCTATATACCCAGCACATCTTATATCATATATACAGCACATCTGCATTGTTTCATATTTGTCTTTAAAGCATTTACTGATTTTCAATACAATATATTAAATTACATGAATCTCTGTCTTATCAAAATAGACTAACCCATTGATCACAAAGGTAATTTATAAATCTATAGCATTAGATAAACAAAAACCAACAGAAAAAAAAAGAAAAAAGAAAAACAACATTTCCAAATTGAAACCATAAAAAAAGGGGAAAAAATTACTAAAAGATCATACAGATCACTGATGGCACATTAGAAAGTGTGAGCATTGCGACAAACGCCACAACCCAGAGCGAACTCTTCTCCTGTTGGAGGGTGCTGCACGTGGAGTGGACACTCTTCCCCCTCCAGCTGCTGGGCTCTTGGACCTGGTAAGGCAAAGGAATGAAAGAATCCGTGCAAAATATATATGGCAATAAACAAAATAGAAACAGAAGGTGAGGGCAGTCTTTGTTTCAAAGCTTTTTTTTTTTTTTTTATTCACTTACACTTCACAAACAACTGCAGTTTTCATTTTGGTAAACAGAAGTTTTGCTAAACTAGAATACAATAATAATAATGATAATAAGACCAGTACTAAAATCCAATCCTGTCCTAAAATGTTCACAGACTACAGTGCTAAAAAAGTTATTTTTCATGACATTTTATGTACTGTCTCCAAACATTAATTTTACTATGATTACTATTATTAATTTACTTGTTGGATATCATTTTCTAAATTGCTATGTGAAACTTTGTTAGTTATTGACATGCTGTATACTACTATGTACAAATGTATAGTTTATTTCTATGAAACTCAATAGTAATTTATGTTCTAATGAGAATGACAAGAATGAAAGTGAGAAAAGAAAACAACTCCTAAAAACACATACTAAACATAAACTAGTACTTATAACAACAAGGCAAAATAATTATAAACTCACCTGCCGGACAATGTGGCAACTCTGTCTTTGGAATATTTGTCACTCTCTGGAAATCATCATGACATGCATTGCAAAAGTGTGTTGTTCCAAAACAGAAAAACACTGCTACTGAGCAACAGTATCTGCACTTGTATTCAAGGAAGTCTGTGCCATGCTTGGGGCACATCTGTGCACGGGAGACATCTGAGCAGGCACCACAAACCAGCTCTCTTGGGTCGTACTCATCACCAAGCCCTGCTTCTACATCACATCTTGCTTCACCTCCATAGTAGGCCTGTAGGATGAAAGACATCCAGTTAAGTAAATACTCATATGGCAAAAGAGAAAAAGAGGGTTACCTGTATGCTGACTTGGTGAGATTGAGTGCTAGCACACTGAAGGGAAGATATAAGCTCACCAGATATGTATGAATCAGTTAAAGTATGGTACTTGTCTCCTGTGTGTGATATCAGTTTATTTCCCTACACTGTCTTGAAATCTCAGGAAAAAAGAGTTAGCTAACTTCACCTCAAATTGACACTATAGTTTTACCACTTTTTAAAATTTTTTGCATGAACTAATAAAACAAGTAAAATAACACATAAGAAAACATATGATCTTCTAGTAAAAAGAAAAAGTAACTTGAGTTCTGCAGTCCCCTAAAGGAAAGACCTAGCATTCATTTTTCTTGGGGTATGATGGGCAGCCTCCTCATCAAGATTCCTGAAATCTTGTTCCATGGCCCTCTTCAGCACTGACCAGCCCTATACACCAAGGATTAGTGTAATTTCCAAACTTCAGCTAATTTGTTTAGTGTCCCTGGGGAGGCTAACCTAACCTAATGGACTCCTAGATGCATTGGGCATTTTATGCTTAACCCATTGGATCTGCATGCTTCACAGCAATCACAAAGCCAAAAATCCAGGCATTAGGCTTTTGTGAGCAGCCGCTCTGCCAAGGGTGTGGCTTGTAAGCCGGGCGCACAAGAAAAATGTAATTTCCAAAATTAAAAATTCTGGGTTTTACACACCATGCACATTCTGATGAACTCATGAACATAATCAACCGATTTCGTAGTGTACGAAAATTATGAATGCTAGATGGTACTGGAACTTATATAAACAAAGAAATGAGAACAAGGCCATTTGAAAATTTGACTCTTGCCAAAGCTTGTTACCTCTATTATCTTTTTACTAAATCTAATGATGTTATATATATATATATATATATATATATATATATATATATATATATATATATATATATATATATATATATATATATATATATATATGTATATATATGTATATATATGTATATATATATATATATATATATATATATATATATATATATATATATATATATATATATATATATATATGTATATATATATATATATATATATATGTATATATATATATATATATATATATATATATATATATATATATATATATATATATATATATATATTTATATATATATATATATATATATATACATATACATACATATACATATATATAAAATCAGTTAATGTGCTTTGCAAAGTCAATCACAGTTATTGTTTTCAACTGGGATCATATTTTGTATAGGACCTCTTATTTCTCCTCCCCCCCTTTTTTATATGGAAATAGATATTTATGTATGAAACATTAAATAAATGCATTAAATTATAAACTAATCTAAACCAGAAAATACTGATTTCTATTTTGTTTTATTAAAAAAATATATATATATAGATTATTTTTTGGAAAATCCACTTATGAAGAAATGGGGTTATAATTTTCATGGAGGCTTATATCACGAATACGGTTAACCATCTTAATCATCCTCATTTAAAAGGATTAAACCCATTTTTATGTAAAGGAAAAATCATCAGTTACCCCAGGTTAACTCATTTTCTTTAATGATTTATATAAAATACATCTGTTCGACATGGTAAATAAGTATAGTTTGCATTCAGTCATTTGACCCCATTATATTTGCAAATAAGTGAATAAAAATTATCGTACGGCTGGGTGGGGTTGCATATCTACATATTTACAGCCTATGGTAGTGTCCACAGGTTGAACTTTTTACTGCAAATGCATGAAAACAGTGCAATTGTTGTTTCAATTCCTTACAAAGCATATGACCAGCTTTCAAAATTTGATATATTTTTATTTTTGTCTGGTTATCATTGTATACTATCATTCTCAGTATAAAATAATCCATCTCTCTCTCATCTTTCCAAAATAAAAAATTGTCTCATACATGTCATTTGTAGTGAAGTGCCCTTTACAATGGAAATCAAAACTGGTACCAACCATGAAGGGGTTAAGTAAGGTCACAGGGTCTACTAATTGACAACTTCATGACTAAGCACTAGCTGAGTGATATATGTGCAGAGACATTATATAAAAAAAAAATAAAGAGCAGAGCATTTTCCCCGATAGCATGTGATTAACAGGGAAGAAGCTAGACAGGATCCCACCAAACTTTGCAGCCCTTTAAGTACTAGTATACAGGCTTGCTATTAGTCCAATAATCCTTGTTGGAATTCTGCTGGGTCTCAGGATCTCCCAGAGCAATTTGCAGTGCACCAAGTCAAATGCCTTCTTGAGGTTGATGTAGGTTGTAAGCAGCCCATAACCAAACTTATGACAGCATTCCATAATGACTAGAAGTGCTATAATATGGTTGGTCAAATGTAGACTTGCCATGAGTGAATTTAGATTGCTCCTGTCTCTGCTGAATTAGCACATAGTCTCTGATATGTCTAAGAAGAATGTGAGCAAGAACCTTGCCTGGTAGGCTGAGCAGTGTGATGCCATGGTAGTTGCTGCAGTCCCATTGATCCCCTTTCCCCTATCAGAGAGGGTTGACCATGTCCCTTAAAAGAGCTGGGGGAATGGACTACCAGATGGCAGTCAGGACAGCATGCAAGCCCCAAGCCATAGGTTCAGCATCAGCCTTTAGCAGTTCAATAGGGATATTGCATATGCTCGCTGCTTTGCTACCCTTCAGCTTAGAGATTGCCACCCTAACCTCAGTCAGAGTAGGGTGGAACTGACACCAAACTAACTGCTGGAGGGGCAACCTGATACAACTACTCCTAATACTCAGCCCAGCATTTTGAAACCCCAACATGATCTGAGATGATCTGTTCATCTACTGAGCAGACTGCAATCATCTATGATGGAGGGCTTGGAGTTCAGCTTTCTCAGGATTTGGTAGGCAGGATGAAGGTCATTTACTATGACACCTTCTTGATGTACTGTTCCTTGTCCATTCTCAAATGTGTCCAAGGACTGCACACCAAGGAACATTGCGAATATAGTGTGCCATTCAGTCAAGCCACACAACATGCCTCCGTGGGCTCCAGTTTCTCCTGTGAGATGAATTTCTGCCTTGTTTTCTGGCACTGGTCAGTGGAATCCTAAGTTGCATCAAGCATTTCACACTTAAAGGAATTCCAGAATCCACTATGATGTCTGATCCTGTGAATCAGTCAGAGGTGCCTGTAGTGAACCTCCAAGCACACTTCTCAGTCAATCTACCCCAGTGGGGTGGACACTAGAAAGATTGGAGGGGGGGGGGTTGAAGTGGACCATTAAGGTAGCCACAATCAGTTTATGGTTGGTTTCACAGGACTCGGCACTCTGGGAAACCCTACAGTTCTTGAGGATCCTCCAGCGAGTGCAATCTCCTTGGATACAGTACTTATATTACTGTACTATATCCAGTGATGTGGGTTGGAGTACTGATATCAATGACCAGAAATCCTCAATCTCCTGGAGGAGGAGGCTATTCTCACTGCTGGAAAAAGCTCTCAAGCCATGGGGACTGACAGACCTCCGCTTATGGGGTTCCCAAAGGCTGCTGTGTGGTGCTGACCTGTGTTCAAATCTCTCACTACCAGTGGATGGTAACCCTGGCCATTCCTTGTACACAAGGGGTAATTTGGAAGCAAAATGAAACAGACATCATGTCACAAGAACATCCATTGCAGCAAATGGAATAAAACTATAATATTTATCTTTTACTATTATTAATTGTCTACAAGGACATGTGGGGCAAGCTACTCCCGTTCCTGTCTGTTGCATGGTAGACACCTTCCCTTGAAAACTGACCTAACTTGCCAAACTCTATGGTGATTTGATCATCCCCTGGTATCTTAATTTATGCTGCCATCAGGCTTTTTGGGGCAGCGGTTGACAGCTACTGCCACTTTACTACTGCCAAAGGTTTAACTATATGAAACTTTCATTATAACATGACACATAACCCTTTTAAATTTTGCTGTTTATACTTTTCTGAGACTTGCTATTGAAAAGTAAATGTGAAGTAAAAAAAAATATACGAGCATGTTAAAAAATCAAAATACTTCAAACAATGTCAACTTCAAGCTCTAAATTAAAGGAAATTTGGTTAATCTTAATGGGGCAAATTGCAACTGCAGAATGGTCATCAAAATTATATGAGCTGTTACAGTGCTATAACCAATAGTAATGATATTAATAATAATAACATAACAGTTAATCACAGCAGGAAGCTGTCATGACTTGAACTGCTCAAGTTACCTTGTTACATTTGAAGCACACATAATATGCATAACGGTCCATAGCATAAGCAGCTGGATCATTGTAGTACCGTGCACCTGGGGTGGAAATGGCCTCTGCTCGGTGCAGGCCCTCATATTCCAGCCTCATGAGAGCCTTCCTCCGGACATCCTCAAATAGGGCTGAGATTGGGGCCAGCAGCTCTGTCAGCACCCCATGGCTTATGCGAACCTAGGGATGGATAACAGGTCTTAGGCAACAAAATGAAGTTGTTTATTTTGAGGCTATATAAACAAAAGGATATATTTCATTACATATAGCAGAATAGCAATAGAAATACTACTACTTCTACATATATCTGAATCAATATTGTAAAATGAGATGAGAAGTCCATCCTATGCCATAGTTAGACTCACTCACCTTACAGATTGGGCACATTGAAAAGGTGAAAGTGATACGTGGTCCTGGCCAACGCCTTGTTAACACTGTGCGGCAGCAATGTGCATGGAACACATGGCCACACTCAAGCTGTGGATGAGAAAATATTTACAGTTTTATGTAATACCCTTTGAAAAACTAACAAAATCAGGGAGTGGGAAGATGGCATAAAATAATGACATGTTTTTCTTAACAGAATCAAACTTCTTGCTATTGGGGGGGAGGAAAAATATAAATTATTCCCTTAGCCCCTAAAGTTCTGTCTATCAAGATTGTGAAAGGCCTGTCAAAATCTGGTAGGCTTTTATGCAGTTACATAGAAGATTGTTGCTCCAAAGGCTTCAGTATTTCCCAGTCACACTGCCAGATCGTCATATGACAATGTCAGTAATTACCATGAGGATACTGATCAATGTAAACTAGAGTGAAGGTTACTTACTGGTTTACAGCAGAGGCTAGAGAGCACAATGATTTTGTCCATGACATCTTCCAGGAATAGGAAGCGAATGAACGGTGCTAAATATCACCTCTTTTATATAAAACAATAACCAATCAGAGCACTGCATGCCCTGTTCTTCCTCAGGCAATGTCCCAGGACTTATGATGTGGACAAGAGGATAACTTATAAAGATCAGCATAAAATGTAATGGATGCACCATGCTAACATGATGTGGATGACCTTGCATCCAAAGCTATGCCCTAATCAGCCATGATGTGAATGACCCCTCATCTGGAGCCTTGACTAAGTCAGTCATGACTTGAACCCCACATCATGTGGTGGCTAAGGGCTAATAACCAATAATAGGCTTTTAAGATTTTTAAGCCAATGGTAGGTGCTGTAGGGAGCCAGTCCCTTGAGAGAAAAATTAGAAGCAAGGGAAATGTATCTTTCAGATTTTGGTTGTCGCATATATGATTTTCCAGTGAACTAGACTAAAGCCTGCCTGAAAGCATACTTGTGAGAGGCTGTAACTCCTCATTTACTGCAATGACAAATAAACAAATGTTTAGTGTACATAATTTAGACCTGGCTCTACACATGTGGCATAGGTGTATATACCATCTGAAAGGAATCCAGTCAAGCCAATGTGCATACATACATACCAACCATCAAGCAAAGGGTTAATGATATACCTAATATTTCTGAAGTAAAACTTGGCATTTCTGACCTTTGATTTGTGAAAAGCAAATAAACTGGGAGATTTAACCAGTCTTACAAGCACAAAATTAATTCCTGTACAAACTTTCTCATTACCTGGATGGCAGGAGCAGCAGATAGGGCCTCAGAGAAGCATATCATGCACATGTCATCTGCATCCTGCTTAAGTGAGGGAGTATTGGCACATCCGTGAAGGCAAGGCAGACATGAGGCTTCCCCCTTTAGTCCTCCACACAGATGGCCACAGTCATGTGTTCTTACACAGGCTTCCCGACTGTACTCCTGTGAGAAATTAAGAAAGATCTATCAAATGAGTATTACTTGCATATATATATGCAAAATAAAACTACAAAAAATTGTACACAAATACTGTATGAACCAATATTGATATGCAGTCTTCTTTAACCCAATGAGTGCAGGTGGCAAGACTGCAATGCCATGCCCACTATAATAAAAGCTTTATATATTGTCTTTACACATAGATGGCTTAGTCACCAAGGAGCTTGCTATTAGTCTTACCTATCTCATCTGTTTACTCTTTTTCTTAATCTTTTCTTTTATTTTACTGTCTTTGATGTTATTAATATTTTAATAACAATTTAATACTCACAATATCAATATTAGTAGTATTGGAAAGAAAAATGCATTTTCCTACCAATTCAAGGAATGGGGAAATCATAATCGGTCATTAGGACCAACTGATAGACTCCTTGCTGCTGAGCACATGTGGAACTCACTAAAATCTAAAGGGGACAGTAAATAAGCCTGCTGACATTAGGTTAAGATTTGGCTTTTTTTTGGGGGTCACTAAAAAAAGAAATCACAATAATACTCGAATTGCAAACCTGGCAATCAGAATCCTGGCAAACAGGAGCAGGAGACAGGAGTGATGGCTGAGCTGGTGCCCCACAAAACCTGCAAGTTGATGCTGCTACAGAGCCACGAGATCTCTGGTTCTCCCCACGTAGTTCTAGCATGGCCTTTAGGGTGGTTGAGTCAGCCAAGGCCAGAAGCCAGAATAACTTTGTTCTTCCACAGCCTTCATGCAAGTCCACCTGATCAGTGTTAAAAATAAAGCAATGCATTAATGGAACATAGTAAGTTACCAACTTTGTCTGTACATTCATTTTACTCTCATTCATTCACAGCAGGTAGTATCCACTAAATGGAAAGCTAGTCTCTACCTTAATGGCTTCTTGCTCCTGTCTGAACACAGTGCGGTGATGGTGCCTAGTACGGCGGTGAAGATGGAGGATTCGGTCACACTCGCCACACAAGTTGCTGCTACATTCCTCACATAGGATCATGGCTGGAGTCTCCCCATCATCATGATTCTCACATGTTGGCTGTGTATGATATACAGTCAAGAAAAATCATTTATAAATTGATAGTTTTTGACAAAACTATGTCAATAACATGAAAAAGATATGGATCAAAGCAACAAGACACTACTCTTATAGACAATACACAACTTATCAATTTCTCTACATGTTGTGGAGCTCAGAGGACTTACCCGAGGTTCTGGGTTATGTGGATCCCCTGTTGATGTGGTGGCCTGCCAGTGGTGGGAGGAGAGGGCATCCACATGGTCTGGATGGAGCACACAGAGGGATGCAAGTGCAAGCCAGAGTGTGGGTGTAGCCAGGCATGACGCTGCACATGACCTGTCACTTTCACTGAGTCTTGTTAGATTCACAATATTCTCAGCAATTGCACCTTTGCTGACCTTTGCCCAATTGTCTGAGAGTTTGCCCTGTTTGGGGAAAAATGGAATATTAACTAACATTCTAAAGATTTAAAAAATAACTAAATTCACTTATGCCAGACATCCCATACATAGTCTGCCTTTTAAAATATTCTTAGAAAATGATGAGATAATAGAAAAAGGAATTTGTTAGCATTTCTTGGGTACTGACTCTCTGGTCAATGCACAGGCTGTGCATTTTGCAATCAGGATTTTTTTGGATGTGCTGCACAGCATCTCAAAGACAAATTTTTTTTTACACTTCCTCCATTTGTAGGTAATATGTCAATATATATTTCTACCGGTAACTGTCTGAGCATTCTCCCTGATTTTTGGTGCATGTGGCTGGCTTGGCAAGCCCACCATGGGAAGCTCTAGTGCATCAGTACAAGAGGACTCATGATGGCTAGAGCCATACCGGGCAAATATCTGATATATCTCATGATGACTATAGCTGTTCCTGTTGGCATGGGGTTAAGCATTCAAGTGTGTATAAACAGATAGGCAGATGTAGATACAGACAGTGCCACACTGGCAAAAGAAATAACTTACTGGTGAATATCAAAGTTGTTTTCCTCATCCTTGGATGTAGCATGTAGGATGGCATAATCATGAGCAGGGAGAGATTCTACTCCCAAGATTAAGGCCAAAGACTGAGGTGGAACATCAGCCAGCATGCGTCTGAACAGAGCCACAACCTGGAGGAGAGTTTCACATTTACCCAAATCATACCTGCACTAATTAATTATGTTCTGATATTAGAAATCCTTTTGTCTACACTAATAATCATCCTTGCTATATTTACATTGCTACTTTCCACTGATTCATCCATTAATTCAACTAACCTGTCTCTGGACACGAGCTGACCCTGTGTGGAGCAGTGACAGCAGGTGCTTCAGCAAGTGATCCTGCTGAGCCAAATGTGCCCGGCCAACCACAGAGCCACTGAGGGCCAACACCATGGACAGCATCTCAAAGCAGTATGTGTCAGGGGGGTTGTGCTGTCCCTCTTCAGGTGTAGCAGGTGTGCCCAGGCCTCCACAGTTGAGCCCTGACTCCCACTCTTCCCTTGCTCTCACAGCTTCCTTACGGATGGCCTGCACTATGTGTGAGCAAACCTGGAAATTTTATATGTGTTTGTTAAACTATCTAGAACTTATGCTGAGAGGAATAATGTTTTACTGGCTTCTTAAAGCTTCATTCACTGAATAGATATAGTCTTACCTGTTTTTGGAGGTGTGTGAGTTTTGATCGTGAGAACAGAATGCCGACCATATGTTCTCGGAGGTCATTGTTGTGGTCTTGCTCATCCACATTTTCAATGTTACCTGCAGTTCCATCACTTCCCTCAGCAGCTTTGTTGCCACCTTCTGCGGTCATGATGAGGCGGCCAAAAAAAAACTTGCAAGTTGATGCTGCTACAGAGCCACGAGATCTCTGGTTCTCCCCACGTAGTTCTAGCATGGCCTTTAGGGTGGTTGAGTCAGCCAAGGCCAGAAGCCAGAATAACTTTGTTCTTCCACAGCCTTCATGCAAGTCCACCTGATCAGTGTTAAAAATAAAGCAATGCATTAATGGAACATAGTAAGTTACCAACTTTGTCTGTACATTCATTTTACTCTCATTCATTCACAGCAGGTAGTATCCACTAAAGGGAAAGCTAGTCTCTACCTTAATGGCTTCTTGCTCCTGTCTGAACACAGTGCGGTGATGGTGCCTAGTACGGCGGTGCAGATGGAGGATTCGGTCACACTCGCCACACAAGTTGCTGCTACATTCCTCACATAGGATCATGGCTGGAGTCTCCCCATCATCATGGTTCTCACATGTTGGCTGTGTATGATATACAGTCAAGAAAAATCATTTATAAATTGATAGTTTTTGACAAAACTATGTCAATAACATGGAAAAGATATGGATCAAAGCAACAAGACACTACTCTTATAGACAATACACAACTTATCAATTTCTCTACATGGACTTACCCGAGGTTCTGGGTTATGTGGATCCCCTGTTGATGTGGTGGCCTGCCAGTGGTGGGAGGAGAGGGCATCCACATGGTCTGGATGGAGCACACAGAGGGATGCAAGTGCAAGCCAGAGTGTGGGTGTAGCCAGGCATGACGCTGCACATGACCTGTCGCTTTCACTGAGTCTTGTTAGATTCACAATATTCTCAGCAATTGCACCTTTGCTGACCTTTGCCCAATTGTCTGAGAGTTTGCCCTGTTTGGGAAAAAAAAAACTTAAATTAAATCCCCAACTATAATGGAATATTAACTAACATTCTAAAGATTTAAAAAATAACTAAATTCACTTATGCCAGACATCCCATATATAGTCTCATCTTAGAAAATGATGAGATAATAGAAAAAGGAATTTGTTGGTATTTCTTGGGTACTGACTCTCTGGTCAATGCACAGGCTGTGCATTTTGCAATCAGGATTTTTTTGGATGTGCTGCACAGCATCTCAAAGACAAATTTTTTTTTACACTTCCTCCATTTGTAGGTAATATGTCAATATATATTTCTGTGTATTGTTTTTATCTGATATTAATTAATACAGGAAAAGGGTATCTTACTTATTTTATAGTTTGAAAGTTTTTACTTCATTAATATTTATAGAAAAATGTAGAAATTATAGTATCTTACATGTAGGTCACCAGGCATATATGATTTGTAAAATATGTATCCAGAGCTTTTTCTTCCACTTTGTGGCTAATTATATGCTAACTATAATTGATGTATATTTTCTACTTTTTTTCCACAGTGGATTTAAAAAGTAGCTGCTTCTACAGCAAGAAGAACAACCATGTACAGTGGAAGTGTATAATGAATACATGGGTGGAGTAGACAGAATGGACCAAAATATTTCTAAGTATGAAATAGCAATGAGGAGAAGGAATTATTACATTGTGACATATTGCATTGATGTAACAATCAACAATGCTTGGCAGTTACACAAAATGTGTGAGGGTAAGGATACGATGGATCTCCTTGCATATATGTGAAGCATTGCATGTTTCTATTTGGAATGCTATGCAAATCCTCCATGTACTGGCAAGCAAAGAAAACCAAGGAGTAGGCCAAATGAGGCTCAGTATGATATGCACACTGTGTTGTTCAACAGCTTTGTCAAACAAGTTGTGCCCACTACCACATTAAGACAACAAGAATGTGAATTACTTTAAAAAAAATGTCACTCAGTAATATGCTGTGGGCTAGAATAATTCTCAAGAAGAAACAATTCTGTTTTCATGTGTAGAAATTCATGTATATATAGCATCATGATTGCATTTATTATTGATAACAAATGGACTGTCAAATTACAATAAACTAACTTTTAGTATTGATTTACCTAATGATCTATATAGTGTGTGGCATACATTTTGCATATCAAATGAAATTCTTGCTCAAAAAGCAACATATATATACATTATGTGATCCTAATGAAACCTACATGCAAAGCTGTACAACAATGTTTTAAAAACATTTGGCATAAATGGGTTTAACTACTCCAAAATCTTACTGTGGTCATGTCTCTTATCAAGCTAATGATGAGATCTGCCTGTTTCTGTGTGGCTGACCCCTGCAGCCACCATCGAGGGGAGTTAGCCTGGGGTGTGGGCATGGTGCTGGCTAGAGAGACAGAGGTGACTGCTCCCTTCCCTTGTGTTGCAACAGATTTTCCTCCCTCACCACCCTTTGTCTTCAGCTGTACCGTGAGAGCCTTTGCAATCACAGCAAGGAACACATCCAGGATTCCTTGTCTGTTGAATGCATAAAAATCAATATTAGAAAATATAAGAATATCAAAAGAAAAAATCTGAAAATAACAAGGAGTAAAATTAATCCAGTGAAGCCAGGCCAAATATTTGCTGTCAAATATTTCTACCGGTAACTGTCTGAGCATTCTCCCTGATTTTTGGTGCATGTGGCTGGCTTGGCAAGCCCACCATGGGAAGCTCTAGTGCATCAGTACAAGAGGACTCATGATGGCTAGAGCCATACCGGGCAAATATCTGATATATCTCATGATGACTATAGCTGTTCCTGTTGGCATGGGGTTAAGCATTCAAGTGTGTATAAACAGATAGGCAGATGTAGATACAGACAGTGCCACACTGGCAAAAGAAATAACTTACTGGTGAATATCAAAGTTGTTTTCCTCATCCTTGGATGTAGCATGTAGGATGGCATAATCATGAGCAGGGAGAGATTCTACTCCCAAGATTAAGGCCAAAGACTGAGGTGGAACATCAGCCAGCATGCGTCTGAACAGAGCCACAACCTGGAGGAGAGTTTCACATTTACCCAAATCATACCTGCACTAATTAATTATGTTCTGATATTAGAAATCCTTTTGTCTACACTAATAATCATCCTTGCTATATTTACATTGCTACTTTCCACTGATTCATCCATTAATTCAACTAACCTGTCTCTGGACACGAGCTGACCCTGTGTGGAGCAGTGACAGCAGGTGCTTCAGCAAGTGATCCTGCTGAGCCAAATGTGCCCGGCCAACCACAGAGCCACTGAGGGCCAACACCATGGACAGCATCTCAAAGCAGTATGTGTCAGGGGGGTTGTGCTGTCCCTCTTCAGGTGTAGCAGGTGTGCCCAGGCCTCCACAGTTGAGCCCTGACTCCCACTCTTCCCTTGCTCTCACAGCTTCCTTACGGATGGCCTGCACTATGTGTGAGCAAACCTGGAAATTTTATATGTGTTTGTTAAACTATCTAGAACATATGCTGAGAGGAATAATGTTTTACTGGCTTCTTAAAGCTTCATTCACTGAATAGATATAGTCTTACCTGTTTTTGGAGGTGTGTGAGTTTTGATCGTGAGAACAGAATGCCGACCATATGTTCTCGGAGGTCATTGTTGTGGTCTTGCTCATCCACATTTTCAATGTTACCTGCAGTTCCATCACTTCCCTCAGCAGCTTTGTTGCCACCTTCTGCGGTCATGATGAGGCGGCCAAACACCTGAAAAATGTAAAAAAATCAATGAGAACTCTAACTACATTTTGAATAACTTGAGAGGTAACATAGTCTGGAAATTATGCCATGTCCAAGTCAAGGCACCAAAACACAATTTTACATTTGAATATGAATACAAGAATACCACTCACCTGGCCAGTAATCAACCTGAACACCTTAAGTGTCTCCTGCTCACAGGCCCTATGCTGGATGGTGAGGGGAGAATGCTGACGTAGTGGTCTTGAGCCTGAGCCTTCCCCTCCCTCGCCACCTAGGACTCTCACTTGCCGCACTCGCACGCTCTGGTCTGGTCCTCTAAGCTCCACAACTATGGTTGTGATTACATCGTCTGGAAGGAAATGATTGCATTAATAACGTAAACAGTGTGAAGCTGACTATCTGCAAGCTCATGTATCAGTCACCAAAAAGTATCTTACGTGGTAGAACTGCATGAATCCATCCACTGAATCTGCTTTCAATATCAACTTGTCTCACTAGAACCATGTCATCTCCACTGGGGCCACACTTGAAGACTACACTTGACACTTTATTCTGAAGAAAGAATAAATCAAATCTTATATCCAATATCATTTGATAATTACTATATACAGAAAAAAACTACATCTAAAATGAAAAAACTTAAAAGGCAATTGTCAAAATTACTTGGAAAAACTTTTCTACCAAAAACTATATGAACCAAAGCTTCCAAAGCAAATACCAACCCCAAGATCCCGACAATTATCAATGTGGACGTAAACTGTCTGTGGGCGGATTGCCGCAGCACAAGTGATGGTGAGTGCCTTAGTCTTGTTCCGGTCTTCATCCCCAGACTCCCAAAATGTCTCTGTAGATGCGTCTGTTAGAGATGGAACCATGGCTTGTCTGCTTGAAGCTCGGACTTCACACTCACTCATAAGGTCACGCAGGCACTCCACCATGCTGGTCACCTAAATGAGTGTGCAAGGCATTTACGATTAGCTGTAAGGCTACATTACTATCATGCCATGTAATACGGAATTAGTTTTTTTTATACTGCATTAGTTTCTTACAAATATTTTTTTTGTATGGAAGAAAAAAAAAAAAAAAAAAAAAAAGAGAGAGGTAACTAACCGGCCCATGACTTTCATACATGGACGTGATGCCCTCTTCTCCCGCCCCTAACACCTCCTCTGACCGTGAAAGGATCTTCGAGATATTAGAGAATACATGACTTTGATGGAGGAAATCATGATCTGTTGGAGTGAAGCGCAGACCCCAGCACCTGTGGACAGAAAGATCAATTTTTTATGTCACTCAATACTAACTTTATAGATATCAAAAACTAACTTTCACTGTTCATTTCTTTCCCTGCAGCTACCCTTCCTAATCATTTAGCATGTTGCTTGTACTATATGGAGTAATAATGAGAAGTAATAACCCATGTATATTCACAAGAACACTTTCACTCTGCACTCTGCATGAAAACACTTTTATTCACCATAAAACCATAAAAACATAATTTTCTTCCATACACATATTCACATAACACATAACCCTTAACATCAATTACCGAACAGCCATCATCTGGAGAGGAGATCCTGGAGGAAGAAGCATCATCAGATCAGCAACTGTCTGCAACAGCTGGTGGAAGGTCTGAGGCAGAGGGTGAACTGCATCGCCTGCGAGTGTTACATCACTCAGAGGATGTTCCAGCACCACCATTTCACCTTCCTGTATTTATAAAATTGTCTTTTAGTCATGACCAGAAAAGGAATTTAAAATATTTTTCTTCTATATCTAATTCAGTTCTAAAAACAATATTCTGAAGTAATAATCATGAATATATCATGGATTATATGCATAGTACTAACTAGTGCTTGTAATAATATAATATCAATAATTGAATGTTTATTGCATAACATCCACAAATACTATCTTTTGTATATAAACACTGAATGCACAACCTTTGATTCTACTGCTTCACATTCAACAAATCTATGACATGAGTGAAATGTTACCACTAATACTGAAGACATTGCAAATCAATGTACAAAAAAAAGAGTGTGCTATAGAATCAAAATCTTACTAAATCATGGGATTTATCCTTGTGATGTGGCTGATCCTGTGGGTTATGGTCATCGGCAGGAGGCTGAAGGGGTGGGCTAGTGGGGGTGAGTGCAGCCACAAAGCACCAGAGCAAATCGTGAAGACAGGTTGGCTGTGTCACACTTCTCAGAAGCCAGTTTAGAGCCTGAAGGTCAAAGAGACTGCATTGTCCAAATTCTACTTCACTTAAGCCTTTGTAAGCATTATGTACTATTCATTTTGTGTGTGTGTGTGTGTGTGTGTGTGTGTGTGTGTGTGTGTGTGTGTGTGTGTGTGTGCGTGTGTGTGATTTTCACTGCAAACAGACAGCTCCATAATTTGTCAATTAGTAGGCCTGACATGACATCACCTGATTTTTCCTTTCTTTGGATTTTTGTGAAAAATGTGATTTTACAAATGCTATTGATGTTGATACTGTTATTATTATTACACATATTCTGATTATTATTCTATCATAATACTAATAGCAATAAAAAATAGAAAGAATCTTTCTGAAAATTACCAGAAAGGGTAAACATGTGAGACAGGTAAGACTACTTATTGAACATGTCATCCCAGCACACAGAGGTAAGAAGTTTATTATTTGGCTAATGGTCAATATTTAGTGAAATGTTCAGCATAAAAGTTACTGCTTTAATAGAGTACATAAGGTAATTAATAGAGACTTCAATAAGTAAACTGAATAAAGTAAACCACATTAACCCTTTACTGGGCTTTCAATTCTACAGAAACCAAACAACTGCTCACCTGCATGGCATAGACCCTGGCAGCTGCCTTTCGTGTGGCATGCCTCATAGCATAAGCCAAAGTTTCCAGGTCGTGGTTCTGAAAGATGAACGCCATAATAGGTCGGATGAGGACCTGCCTTGCTCTTCCTCCTGGGTCTCCTGCAGGTCCTCCTCCACGCTCTATGCAGGTTGCTAGCCGCTCCAGTGCAGCTGACGGGTGCACCAAGAGGGAACTGCCACCACCATCTACTGTGAAAGTGGTTTCTTTATATCTTTTCTTAGACAAGTTGACACAAACTATTCCACTTTTAAAATATTTTCTCCACATCCTCCACCTTAAAAAGCCAAACAGCTCACTTCAATCCACAACTGTACCTGTGTTTTCTCCACTGCTGTTATTCCGTTTCCTGAGAACAACTGTGGCCTTCTGGTCATGCTCATGCTGTGAGGCAGAGGCCGAGGCAGCAGCTGAGCTCCAGTCTTGTCCTAGGGTTCCAACTGTCACAGATATGGAGCGGTGGAATGGACGGCCACGAGGGATCTCTGTATCAGATGCGGGAGATTCTTGGTGTGAGGTCCCTTATTCAAAAGAAATGAAATGTTGTCCATTAAAACAGCTAGGATTAAAAGTGACAATGCTTCGGAAGCCAAAAGAAATAAAGAAAACTATAAATGCCAATCAGAAATAAATAATGACAAAATCATAAGAAAACTCCTTTTAACAACGAAACGTTAAAAGACCTAAAGCGGTGGGGGGGGGGGGGGCAAGCTTGAATGTTACCTGGTGGAGAGAAGGGTGAATGCTCCCTGTGGTTATTATCCCGAGACTCGGCAGAGCTGCTGCGGTAATCTGCGTTATCAGAGGAATGGAGCGTGTGGTGCAAGAGGAGGTCCTCACGCAGCTGGTTTAGGTGCTGCTGCTGGCAGTTCAGAGTGTGCAAGCACTGGAATGCAACCTAAAAAACACACAAGTCCACCTGTTACTTTTTAATCAGGTCAAAAGGATCTCATCTGCAGGTAAATTCAGATGCTCCTTAACTTACCCACATTATGTTAAAATTTTCAGTAATTCCCCCATTCCCTCATCTCCTTGTTCTTTCTCCCTGAGCCAATCATATGAGCCCTTCATATGACACTTTTTTTGAAAGTGAATGAATATTATAAGAATTAAATAAGAATTATTGTAGCATTTGGCATGTACACCCCACAAATGCCCCCATTCTCCATACTCTTTGTGCCTCCTACCAATGTTCCAGCCTCTTTTTTCACAGAAATGAATACAGTGAGTATAGAAAGTTCAATTCTACCCTGCCCCACAAGCAAACCTGTACCCCTTATATGCCCTACCCAACACCCCTTCATTAGTACTGTTTTATTTCAAGATTTACTTTTTTTCTAATCATATACAGAGTACAGATGTTTTAGTTCTGTCTTTGTATCTCTTTCCATTTTCTCTGGCAATGGTATTTTTTCAACTTTGCTCCTCTACTGAAGAACTCTGGGTCATACCAGTATGAAACAAGCATTTCCAATAGGTATATTCAAAATCTACAAGAAAAGATTTAAACTGACCTTGATCAGTCAGTTAGTTATATATAGATGGTTAGTGCCACTGACTCACCTTAGGGAAGGGGCTGTTGTCTGGGCTTAACTCAGAGACACAGGGCATGGTGCATGGAGATCTCCTTGGCACATGACTTCTGGTGGGGAGGGCAGGTGTTGCAGCACTAGCCAGGTCCAGCAGGAACATTGCATTGTTTCTCATTATCACATGAGTGTCCAGTTGGGGAAGAGGAGATAATAACTTACTGTTAGACTTCCTCTTCATCTTCCCATTTGTACCTTTGCTTCCCGAGAACTGACTATACTGGCCTTTGTGCCTGTTGCGGCAACTCCAACACATGTGGAAGCAGCCACGCACTACCACACCGCAAGGCTGGGTAACACGGTCTTTGGAGGGGAAGAACTTCCAGCGTGTTCCGACATAACCACAGCCTTTGGATGAGCCACCACAACCTGGATGAATAGTCCGGAAGTGCTGTTCAGCACCATCAGGAGGGATATTACTACCACACAGCTCACACACACCATCCTCCTCCTCGCCTACAATTGAGTCAACTCCAAACATGGGAATGCCTGCTGAGGCTGACTTTTTCTTGTGCTTCTTCTTCTCTCTGTCACTCTTCTCCTTTGTCTTATCAGTCTTATTGAATCTAACTGGAAGTGTTGGGGAAGGGAGAATAATCTGTTGAGCAATGGCCTTCAAACAACTTGATGTTAGTTCTTCCCAAAGCAGAACAACATGACGGAGTACTGGGGGAAGGTCTGGGGGGTCAGGCCCTGAGCCCCCTTCCATCACTGTTGGTAATTTTTGTCCCTGAGGTCCCTGAGTGTAGCTTGTCCCTGCCCTGTTGGCAGCATCTTCCTCATTGGTATCTGTGATTCGTGGCACTTCATTGATATTGGCATTTGCCCCAGGCTTCAACAGATCTTCTGTATTCTGGAGAGTGACATTGTTCAGGTAACTGTAGGTACTCACTTCGACAGAGTGTCGCTGTCGTGCTTTCTGTTCTTTTGTAAGTTTTTCTGTTTTAGTGCCAGTGTTTGCACGTGGCTTCCAGTGGAATGTTCCTTGCTTTGTCAGATCTGGATGGAATTTGATGTAGGATGCACAGGCCATAGCATCATGAACAATTCCCTCATGCCATAGGAACCCAGCAAATATAGCTCTCAGGCACTCTGCAACAGATGGGCTCATTGCTTCCTTGATCTTGTCTCGGCTTGGACCTGGTTTTTCCCTCTGCACAGCTGCTGGTGAGACAGCGCGGTCCCTCTTTCCCCGGTGTGGTTTGCCTGATCTATCCTTCCGTGTCATTTTAGGGGAGAGACGCAAGTTTTCATCCCGAGATCCAGTTGACCCTATATTGAACTTCACACCTTCTGGGCTTGTCTGGGTTGCTGTTTGGGTAACTGTTTTAGGGCTTGTGCTCAAGGGTTCCTGTGACACAAATGCAAGAGAATTAGTATTTGATTAGGATTCTGTGAGGGATTTTCTTTTTACCATAATCAGTGTAAAAAAATAATTTTGTTTCAGAAAAAAATGCTTATACCTTACACCCTTCAGTAGCAATATACACAGACTTACATTATCAAAGGTTTGAACTGTTAACATGCAGATCAAAAACTTTCACATAAACCTCCACAAATTTAACCCAATGTTGCTGGGAAAATATAATGCTCACTGTAGTATTGTTTTGTGTAAAACATGTACACATAGATAGCTTGACAAATGCTCAAGCACCAAACAGTCAATCAGTAGTCTACGTGACCTTACCTTCTAGGAGTTTTCATGTAAAATTTGTCTATGTTTAATCTTATTAATGTCAATGTTGTTATTACTATAATTATTAACATTATAGTTATTACAGAGTGATTAATCCCTTGGATCTGGATACTTGACTGCCCAAACATAAAATATGGGCATTAAGCTAACTTCAGCAGCCACTCTGACAAATGTGTGACTTGTAGGCTGGGCACACAGGAACACCTGTGTGCATTGACAAGAGTTCTTGCCACCCCTTTGCAAAGTTATTTTCTCTTTTCCTGCATATGTGTTTTAGCCTTTTTGCCATTTTCCAATATCTATTTTTGTCATTTGATTTGCTTTATCCAGAGATGGTTTCCTTTGCCATGACTCCATATCATCTATAGGTAGTCCACAAATTCAGTGCAAAAATAATAACAATGAGTAACATTTGGTTATTTGTGTAAAAATCACCTTCCCATAGATTTGTGCACTCGTGTATCATTCTTGTCATTCATGTCGTCATGGATAGCAGTTGAAATTCTTGGCAAGTTCCCATTATCCAATCCCTAAGCTGAATTTTCCCAAGATGGCATATTTATGTCACCTGCAACTCAAGCCAAATTATTTCATGACACGACGGTCACTTCATCCAGATCGCATGGGTTAACAATACTAATGGTAATATAAACTAAAATAAAATATTTCCAAAATCAAGAAAAAGGGTAAACAGGAAAAATAAGTAGGATCAACCATTCCTTGGTGGCAGAGTATTTGTGGAGCCATCTATGTGTAAATACAAATAATAAAATCAAATCAATATGAGCATGGCTTGTCTGTACATGTCATCCCCAGTGGCATCGGTTAAAGCTAGTAAACTCTTCAGCAATAAGAAATCCAGTCAACAAATATTCAGAAATCAACTAAACAACACACTAACCCTCCTTGGTGTACTAGGTGTTGAGGTGGGCAAGGAAGAAATGCTCGGGGAATGAGACATGTCCTGTGTTAAGCTTGACACAAATGCACTGGTGTCGCTCAGGGAATCGTTTGCACTTCGAATAGCAGATGGAGGGCTGCCAGCTGCCCTGTCCCCAGCAGCGCCTGTTCCCGACACAAGTGGTGACACAGCTGTTGCACGTGGAGAACTGTGCAATGGAGAACTACTTGCACTCTCCCTTCCACGCCCTTAACAAAAACATCAGTTAATTATCAACATTTTGATCAAAATCATGTAAAAATTCTATAAAAAGCAATACACTTTATATTCTTAGTTATTATATGGCAATACACTGATGATGATAGTAAAATATGAGAGAGAGAGAGAGAGAGAGAGAGAGAGAGAGAGAGTGAGTTAGAGAGAGAGAGAGAGAGAGAGAGTTAGAGAGAGAGAGAGAGAGAGAGAGAGAGAATGGGGGGGGATAGAAAAAAATGGACAGATAGAAAAGCCAGAAAGAAAAGAAGAGAGACAAGGTTTACAAGAGCAGAACACACCGGGAATAGGCACAGGACTGGAAGATCTTGATATCTGCCGTGGGGAGGTGCCGGAGCCTGTTGCCACAACTGAGGGCCCAGAGGGTCCAACCCCAACTGCCCTCGGACTGGATGAACGAGACAAGCGCTTGGGTGTGGCAGGGGGAGTCCGAGGGGGGGTTGCACCATTGCCATTAGCTCTTGACTCCCCTATGGCCTTCACAAGGTCTTTTACTGACACGCCTTGCAGTTCTGGTGGGACATCTCTAGGTATGCTGGAAAAGAAGGTACTTGTCATGTTTCCATGTTGAAGTGGATGTTGCAATTTGTCTTTCCTTCTGGAGTGTTACTGGAATAATAGATCGTGACTGCAAAAGAAAAGAAATGAAAAGAAAAACAAAAGAAAAGAAAAGAAAAAAGAAAAGAAATCTGATCTAAAGAGATAATGAAAACTACAAAAGATAAATA